GTAGGGAATGAGGGAATGAACCTGGGGATTCCTTTAAACGAAACCACAAGGGATGGTTTATGGCGGGTCATTCCCTTATTCCCTGAGCACCAGCAAGTAAAAGGGAAGCAACTCAACACAAACTCTCCGGCGAGCTGCTTGCAGCGGCACCGGAGTCACGTGGCCAGAACCCATCGGCGTGCCACTCTCGCTGCCGCTGAAGCCACTATGAGACACCTCGAGTGGATGTTCTGGGGATGGTAGGCTTGGAGAATTGTTGATAATTTGGGATGGTTTTGGTGGATGGTTTTGGTGGATGGTCTTGGTGGATGGTTTTGGTGGATAGTTTTGGTGGATGGTTTTGGTGGATGGTTTTGGTGGTGTCAATAGCTTTTCTGTTTGGCCGGCACCGAAAACGTGCCCGAATACGTCCATTGCGCTTGCAGGCTTTCTCATCAAGTTTTCAACGGGTCCACTGGAGCTGCCGGCCTCGCCAGCAATGGCACATCAATCTGAAACACGCTGTGGAGTTAAGATTTACCTCCGAAATAGAATATCCTCGACCCTGATCGGATCCGGTTCCGCATCAGCATCCAGAAGCCTGAACGCGAAAAACACTGTTTTCCAGCATCATTGACGGCCCTAGCTGCATCGCCAACATCCAGGGTGGCATTCTTGTCAGGCGCAGAGAGTATTACCAAAACATGGCCTGGAGGAATTCTCAGGAGGAAGTTTGCTGAAGAATGATGGTCGGCAATGAGGGACATGACTTTGAAAGTGTGCCACAGCAAGAGCTGCTTGCTGCCAGACTCAAAGCCAATGACCACATACGGCTATGATGCTTAATCAAGAACGAGGCGCACATCCGCATGTACATGACGTCCACCAAAGTGTCCACAATTGAAACTCATACCCGCATAAAGGCAAAGCACAACGGAGTGGGCTGGCGCGTGCAATACTAGAGGCAGCCGCTCCGAAGCAAAACTTGCTTGTTTCTCGTGATGCAAGCAAGATAGGGATGTGTGGGTTCTTTGAGGCTACCCTTCTTGGGGTGATTTAAATAGGAAACCAAACTTGTTTTTCGAGATCTGTTGAAACAATCCCATAGGTGGGAACCCACTCAATTCTTTAGGTCCCTCGGCCGCTTCGATTTTTGCCCTGGCCAAGCCACCGTGGAAGCAGTCGGCGAGGCTGAGGCACTGTGCCAGACCTGAGAAAGGGGAAGAGCCACGTAGGAAAACAACTGGCAGGGTTGATGAACCGCCCCCTTAACAAGAACGCCGAATGTTGTGAGCGTGCAGGCTACCGGCACAGAAACAACATCACTCAAACAAACGAAAGCAAAACAAACACAGCAAAACAAAACAAACAACAGCACAACACAACACAACACAACACAATCAACCAAACAACCAACAGAAAGAAAGAAAGAAAAAAAGAAAGAATTAAAGAAAGAAAGAAAGAAAAAAAGAAAGAAAGAAAAAAAAATAAGCAAGCAAGCAACAAACACAGAAGGGGATCCTGCACCCTGCTTGGAAAGGCGTGGTTTCCGAACGGATGCCTCCAAGATGCAGGGAATCCCCGGGATCCCCCAACATGCTGGGTTTTTGTTCTTCAAAAATCCCTTCAGAGGGGGTCCCAGATCGGGCACACATCCCAAATGATCTGATGGGTGCTATCACGTGACTGCCAGGCCCCGCCGCCCGGCCTGCGGCGGAGGCTCGTAAGGATTGTCGAAGAGATTCTCCGGCAGCTGGGCCTCCGGGCGCTTTTCAGCAAACAGAATAGCTTTCACGTGGGGTGTCAAAAGGGACCTTGGTATCCCTTCAAAAGGCGGCAAACAACATGGGTGGCCATACCTTTGACAATCCCTCACATAGGGCCTCCGGCACAATTTGTGACAAACTCAGATGGGAGCTTGTCCTTGGGTCCATGCCAACCCAAAAGCTTGGGTTCATGCCAACCCACCACACACACCCCTTCGCACGAATATGACTTGGGGAGAACCATATCAGAAGCTCATAGGGGGTACCTACCAGGAGATTTGAGAACTCCCTTGAAGACGGTGCTTTCGTTCCAAGGTGTGGTGCCCACTACAAAGCAGGTTAGTCTGGCCGCTCTCTCCTCCCTCCAAGTCAATGTGTCCTACAAGCCACAGACACCTTCTCCATGACACATGGCATCTACCCAAGTTTTCAGTGTGGCCACTTGTCCATGGGAGCTGGAAACAAAAAGTTGCACCTTTGGGGCCATTGCATATGGTCAAATTCAAAGCGAAACCTATCACTCGGGTTACATGTCCTACTTGAGGCCCTACTTGACAAGCCCATTGGGAAAGTCCAGACTTGGACCAAGCAACATGCGCCATGTCGCGCCCCATGTTCGGCCTCGGTTGCGCCCCTAGAGGGTTTGAAGGCAACGCACTGAGCCGAGGCTGGTGCGGTGATGAAGTTGTCCTGATAGCTGACGGTGCTCTCCAGCATGTTGTTCCTGCAGCTTGGCGCGGAGTCTGTGCTGTCAAGCCCATGTTGAAACCAAAAGAAAAAGACCCCAACCACTGTAGGAAGTGCATGCAGTGTGTATACATAGACATAATTGAATGATCAAATTCCTAACAAGAGTGGAACTGCTGGGATCCGCTATGCAACGGAGCCAGAACAGTTGCCAATGAGCACCCAGTACTCCTGGGTGCCCAGTTCAATGCGCGAAAACTTGATCGATCTTTTGTGGGGGTCCCTTATTTTAGGCGACACCCATCTTAGTGAATCATAACTCACCAACCCCTAATACAAATCCCAAGAAAGGAAACTGGTCACAAGCCAAAACCTTTTGCGAGTTAATTGACATAATATTCGTCCAGACCCATGTCTCTTTCATTTTCCCGGAAGGCTCCACATGCAGCTGCGCCTGCATCGCAGCTTTTCATTCTCCGCCCGCAGCGCAGCCAGTTCCTGCGCAGGAAGAAGGTTGCAGCCAGTATCACGGGAGCCAAAGGGAAATAGCCCATTTTGTGGGATTCCGGTAGGTTGTAGCGGTACGCTTTTTAGGGGTTGTTTTGAAGAGAAGCAAAAGCCGAACCGGGCCAACACTTGCGGGTTCCATTTCCCAGTTTGAGACACAAACCTATGTGGCTGGCAATAACACAAATTACTAAGACCTGGACGAAGGCCAAATCAATGTAGCCAACCTGTAAGGCAAACCTAAGGGCCACTTCAGGCACCTTGCCGGATCCCGACACGGAAAAGATGTTCGGAGTCCCTCGAAAGAAAGGAAGTAGCCAGAAGCTGGGATCCTGCGATATCCAGCCGCCAATTTCACCGCCTCGAACCAGCTGGTGATGTTCGAAGCCATGACCCGATGGAGAAACCCTGAAAAAGTAGTGTCAACGTGGAGCCTGCCTCTCAAGCCTCTTCTTCAAGCCCGAATCACCAAAAAAGTGCAGTTCGATCGAAATCAGCAATCAGTGACAATGGTACATACATAGTGCGTACATACACAAATACATACATGTGTATATTTATATGCACTCATGCGATAAACCTGTACGTAATACTTCTAGTATATACATGAGCAAGGAATAGACAGTGTATATATGTACACACAATATACACAATGCATAATCCATCGTACTTGGGCCGAGGGCAGCTCACATTCAGGTTTCCGGAGGAGGCCACTCACAACCGGCAGTTCAATGCGTCCGTTACATTCAACTCAAACGTGAAAATGAGGGGCCCAAGGAACCCAGGGAATTGGGTTGCAAAATCAAACAATGGAATGAAGAACCGCTTCAAAACAGCTGGCAACCAAAATGATTGAATAAAAACGGGATTCTCTCAAAGCAAGCCTCCCTTTCAGGAAGCAGGAATCCCTGAATTGTCACGAGCACATATGAGTAGCTTTTTGTATTTACACCAAAACATACCTATGCCACCGCGGCTATGTACATATCAGTTTGGCTTGTACATACATATTGTATGTATGTGTCACGAGGTATATACATCTAATGTTACAAATGGTCCTGTCCTCTTGCACTGCAGATGACATCGTAGAAGCCCGCGAGGAGATCTCCAGCGACACTTCTGCGGCCTTGACTTTGAAAGCCCAGCCTAGTCTTGAAAGCGGTACTCTCTTCTCGAACTGGCCTGGTGTCGGAGGGTGTCAATAAAATGTCCCGCCAGTACTTCAGCGGCTGGACCTGTTGAAGTATGCCTTTCAGAGAATGACACTCAAAAGTAAGACAAGGCCGCGCTACCTTTCACCCAAATGAGTGGTGGTGGCCCGACGAATGGGCCTGGGTTACGCAACTCCCATTTACTTTCGCAATACTTTGGTGAGCGTGCCATATTTGTCATCGGCTGCACACCTGATGATGTAACTAATGAGGGAGCCCGCATGGGAAACCAGAAGGTTGAAAGGTTGATTCGCTTGGGCCAACTGACTTCATGATCTGCCCTTTGGAGACCAGGAAAATTCAAGCACAGCAATTTCAGACAGAACAGGCCTTGCATGAGAGAATGCTTGCATGACTCGCCTGCGGTCCAATGCTGCGATGGCGGCCAATCTTGTCCTAACACCAACAACTTCTGTCTTCAGACCCGACCTGAATGCTGCGCAGGCCCGGTTCTAAATGTAGCATCAAAAGAGCAAACAAGCAAATCCAAGATCCTTACCAGCAGTCAGCGAGCTTCCCCTTTGGTGCTTTCCGTTTCCTCAGGTGTGTCGCAGCGGAAGGCAAAACAAGCAGGACAAATAAGACCGACAGCACTGGCACATCCTGAGGCTAGTCGAAACTTGCTTGCTCTTTGGGAATTTGAAGCTGAAACTTCCAACCATTCACTTCAAGAACTCAATGGTATTTGGATTTCGGGATCACTCAAACACAGGTCCAACCACAAACAAGTCGCAGTCCATGGGAACATGGGGTTGACTTGTGACTGCACACTTGAAGGCTCTGGCATGGGGGTGTTTCCGTTGGGTTTCCCGCATTCGAATCCGAAGGGTCCAACTCATTAGGAATACAAAGTAATGGGACCCCCGGATTAATTAAAAAACCGCTGGTTGATTAATACTTAATAGAGGGTGTCCCCTTTTAGTGAGGGGGTTCATCACAGGACGGGCTTGTCAATGGGTCAACGTTCGGTTCCCGGCATCGTCGTCCGTGGAGACCGTGGGGCATATGCACACCTCGCTGGCCTCGGGGTGTTTGGGAAGGACTTTCTTGTCACCTGGAAACGAACCAAGTCCACTCCTGCAAATGGACGGAAGGAACCCCAAGAGCCCATGACCCTGTGACGAAAACTGATGTTAGAGGGAACCCCCCAAAAATGGGGATTGCGTTTAATTCCCAGGGGAGCAACCTTTGCTCCGCCAAAAAGTTGTCCATCGGCCCTCACTTGCAACTGACAAGGGTGCTGGGGCCTTCAAAAGCTTCGGATGCGCTGCAGGGCAGTCGGTGTTGCCGATCTTCTGAGGTCGGAAGCAGGGAAAGAACTCACGGCGAGACTCGGACGTATCGCAGATGGAGATACTCCCGTTTCAGCCACAAGTCAGCCGAACCTGTCAGCCTGTCAGGCCAGAAGCTCTGATAATTGAGGCATCAAATCCGTGGACAAATATAGATACCTGGCTGCAAGACATTGACACTGCCCGCTCTTGGACTGACATCCTTGCGACTGGCACATCAGCAAGAAGCTCTGTCATGTGCCAACGCAGCTGACAATAATCCAATCATGGCAAGTGCCGTCTGGGTTGTGCCATTTTGTGTGGTACATGTGGCACAATTGCTTGCTACATGAACAGAGAAAGCCCTGCAAAATGAAAGGCTGCCGGCTGAGTTTCTGCTCAGAGAGCCTGTTCAGGCCGCACACGCTGATCAGCTGAGGTACTATGCAAACAATCATTGTACACTAACATTCTACGTACACAGTCCTTTGCACATTGCCATCGACATGTTGAGCATCATTATTATTATTATACAGCGAATATTGTTAGTATATGTGGCAGGGTGAAAACTCCCAAAACGTGGGAGCCCTTAAAGATGCTTGCTATGGTCTGAATTTCCTAAGGGGTCCATGACCTTCTCTGCCATCCCTGGGAAAGGCATGCTTTGGCCATGGCACATCTTGTTACTGGTGATGGGCACCCCAGATTGAGCGGCCCTTGGTTGATTTTGATTGGGGATTGGGTGGTCTCCCCTTTTCGTATGGGGTCATCACTTTTGGACAGGAACTCCCAGTAATAGGACAGGTTTATGATATTGATCGGGGTTAACTTACATTGGTATCACCCTTGTGCCGAAGGGCACAAAGCGGCGCATCCACCTTCGACACGAAGCGTAGCAGCAGGTCGTTGTGACGCTTCGATGGCCTCGGTCATAGGCTGGTCCTTTTGACTTTGGAAAGAAATGAGCCCAGCTCCAAACACTTCTGCTAGGGTGCTCAGACATTTTGCCAAAATTATTAAGGAAGGACGACGTGACCTGAATGCCCAGTGAAGAAGCTTGTTGGATCTCTATAGCGTTCATGTTCAAAGGGCTCGCGGTCTTACTCGGAAGCCGCTGAAATGCTTCACATCCTGAGAGTCATCGTGAACCTAAATCTCATGATCCAATCTCAAGATCATTGTCACTGGCATGATGACCACCCACGAGCAGGTGCTTTCAGAGCAAGGGCAGCCAGAAGAGCGGGCACTGTGATTTTGCCGAATGACACGGATTGAGGATGTCCTTCCAAATTAAAAAAGTGGCAAAGCCTGGTTTTTGCTTATAATCCATCACATGCAAGGGAGTCACAATTCGAGACAAACCCATGTGATGAGCCCCCTAGTACAGAGTTTATTGCAAATGGTCCTATTGCTTATAAGCGGAATCCTTCGACACCAGAGCGAAACCACTTACAAATGGCCAACAAGTGATGTTTGAGTTGGCCAAAATAAAAGCAGGAGCCCTCTTTGAGGTACCGCGTCCAAGCCCAGACATGTGGACAACTTCCACAAAACCCGCTTTGGTGCCACACGTTTGAAACCGCGTTCTGAGCTTGCCGAGGCGCACGAGCTCGAGCTCCTGCCTCAGGGCTTCATCCATAGCACGGCCTTGGTATTGGGGAACACGGACCAGACGGATGGGCTGAGAAATTGCGCGGATGGAAAAAAGGACGGGATGGGATGAGTGGATAGCCGGGTCTGGTGGGCTCCGACTCTTGAACTTCCACGGCGAGAATTCAAAGGGCTCAGTCCCTTGTGCGAGTCCGGAACCCGCGATTCTCTGAAATGCCGCCCAGCGGGGAGCATTTCAAGTGCAGACCATTTCAAGAGTAGGGGTCCAAACAAGATATGTGATCCTCAACAGTTGTGTGAAAATACAGATACCTATTGAAGCCATCCCTCCGACTCCGAGCAAAAGTATGTTTGTTTCGGTGCTACAAGAACTATCTCAAAACCGGGGGGCCCCTTTCGGGTCTTCGCTTTGGCGTTCTGCTTCTCAGGCAACCGATGGATTGCCAAGGAAACCGCATGGTTCCTAGGATTCCCATCGTCAGCCGGCACAAAGAGGAATTGGACCGGGACCCGAAGAAAAGCCCCCAGGCGCTGTCCCTCTGAGTGGGGGCCATTGGGCCCTTGACCATGCTGGACAATATCCACTGGTTGGTTGGTGGTTTATCAACCATTCATGCATCGCAACCGCGAAGCGGATTTTGTCTATCCACAGTACCCTCGAATCAAGTGAACAGGGGTTCCCCACAAGCAAGCCAGTCTTCCACAGCCCTTCTGTCAACTTCCATTGGAGGGTAGGATTGGGCACCAAGTCCATGCGACTGAGGCGCAGCTCCTACCGTTCCACTCCAGGCGCTGGCTCCGCCACCGCAGCAGAGCCTGTGCCCAAAGAACGTTTGGCCGCGCCCGCACGCGCGCGCGTCCAAATCCGCGAACTTGTTGGGTGTGGGCCTGTGCCTCGATTTGATACGGAAGGGGTGGCTTGGAAGGGATTCAAAGAGAAATCAGGCGGGTGTTCCAACTTGGATGCTCCCCCGCCGATCGCAAGGAAACAACCAGGGATTAAGCAGCCGCAGGATTCCAAAGGTGTCAGCTCCCGCCCCCCAAAGAAACAGCGATCCAGACATGAACTATATTCTCGAATACACCCCCTACAAAGCAAGGATGGGATGGAGGATCTGAAAATGGGGGGAGCTCCCTCGAGCCTGCAGCAGGTGCTTCATCTTCCTCATTTTCACGGAAGAACCCTCCTCCGTCAGGTACCCAAAGCTCGCCTCCCAAGTCGAGACAAGCTTGAGCAGATGACTCTAAAGTTCTGACACCCAAACAAATGGCTGACATTCAAAGGAAACTTGCGGGGAGTCGTTGCCAGTAATTTGAGTCAACTTTCTATATGTGCCATGGCGCCGCCAAATACATCCTTTATGGGCCATATGTAAGCCATAATCTTGATCATCCTGATCTACTGGCCTGCGAATAGCTCATGAAGGCCTGAGTTTTGATGGAAAATCATAAAGGTGAACATGTCCAAAGGGTCTCCAAATCCCCACGAACCCATGGTCATTTTTGCCCGGAGAAGGGTCAAACTCGCCGCCCTCGGAGTCAAATGGTCGGCTTCCACGGTTGGGGAAGCCCCAACCGCTTACGTGGAGTGCCTGGCAAGGATCGCTCTCCAAACCAAACAATGCTAACCCCTAATTAACAGGGGGACCCTTCGCTTATCATCAAGGGGAGCCCTTTTTAGTAGGGAAGGGGGAACCCCCCTTTATGGTAAGTGGGGGGTGTAGGAGCAGGGGTCGACATTAGTGGGCTTGTCTGCAGCTGTTACTCCCGGCCTCATCGAAGGTGTTGTGCCACATGCGCTGCAACAACGGCTTCAACTGCGACACCAAGATCGCCTGGCCTCCCTCCTGCAACGTTGGAGCCCTGCTCTGCCCGGATGCGCCCTCCGCAATGCTGTGTTTACAACGCCTTCTGCAGCGCGGACCGGAACAAACTGGTGCAGTCGTGCAGTGTGCAAGTAGCTAGTGCCAGTTCGAATGCCAGAACGTACAGGTTATGCTGCACACAAACCTGAATAACCAAAGCCCCAACCAGCATCCCTCATAGCGAGCTGATCTTTCCAGCAGCCCATATATCGGACGCGTCCCAGCTTCAGCCCGCCACGAACTCAGGTGCTAGATGCCCCGCCCGGCTCCTCATCTACGGTGCCATTCTCCCGAACCACCGTGCACAGCACCTGAGCAGAGCCGCGAGCCAGGATTCGGCCAACTTTTCTCTGGGTTCCGAATTTCCAGATTTGGTCTTGAACCTCACTTTTGGTGTCTCAGCAAAACGGGCCTAAAGCCTGGGGCACCTTGTTGCACACCGACCACACGCCTTTGAAGGAACCCCGGAACTCGAACATCACTTCTTGGAACCGCTTCCATGAATATATCATGTAGCACCAGAGGCTTGGGGCTGAGTATTTAAGCAAAGCTGTGGTTTTTTTTTCTGGTGATGTTCAGTGGGTTCCTTCACAAGGTCCGTTTCTGTTGGTTGGGTGAGGTTCATGTGTTCAGCTTCCCCCGAGTTGGCTTGGACAATTGGTTTAGTGGTTGGTGGTTTCTCATTTGCCCCTACAACAACCAAAGCTTCAAATCCAAATCCAAACCCCAAGTAAAGAAAACCTGACCTGTATGTCATTTTTAGGGGACCCCAAGTTCGTGGTTCCCCTCTTGGTTCCCTTTGAGCCAACATTCAAAGCGGCAACTCCAAGCGCGCCTGGTATAGCGAAGGCCAACTCGAGGCGCTGCCGGGCTTGGGCACCTTGCAGGCTCGGTCAGGATCAGGACAGGTGCTGGTCTTTGGCTAGGACCGGTTAAGACCCAAACATGCACCAAAAATGTGGGGGGGGGAGGGGGGGGTCCAAACTTGATTGAAAGTTGCACGGATGAGAATGAAAATCAAGGAAACCCACTTTTGGGGACCCTATTGGTAGGAAAAGCCCCTAACGGGCCCTCAGGCGACCCCGTGGAAGATAGAAGGGTTGGCGGCTTCTCATGCCCGCCAAGGGCGGGCAAGCGACATAAATAATGTCCGAGCGAAAACCAGCGGTTCTCCCATCGCAGTGTCATGTACAAATGTCCCTCAAAAGTGGCTGGTGGGCATAAATATCCATGTAAAATCATGTTCACCAAAGGGACAACCAAGTTGGCTTTTCCATCATCGTGGCCTGAGCCTCTACCATTGGTTCCTCACTTTGGAGACACAGAAGTCATTGGTGACCTGGCTTTCCAGTTTACCCTGCAGTCTTCTTGAGATATCGTTCTGTACCCATCACAAGCAGACCTTGCATTCAAAGGTCAACTGACTGGTCTGATGCATGACATTTAGAGAGGCCAATGGCCAGGAAACTCTCTCCAATTCTCCTTTCAACTGAACAAAGAACGCTAGAGTAGCTTTCCCAATCCACCGGAACACTCCGATTCGAATATGTGTCTCACAATATGCAGTTCTTCAGCCGGCCGTTGAGATGTCGATGCAACTGCTGGCACGCAAGCGGCCCTTTGACTATGACACACTGCTCACAAAAAGAAGGTTTCTCTACGGATGGTGGCTTTTTGAACTCAAATATCAATCTGCGGGGAAGCAGTTTGAAGAAGCTTGGAAGCCGCAGCTCCAAACTTCACCCTTGTCACTCCCTAAGTTGGCAAAGCAATGCTACAATTCCCAGAGGTCAAGAGGTCGGACGTAAAAAAATCCTCACCTTGAAACCTGACCCCACTAAATGGACCCGCCCTTCCAATTACCCCAAAGGGGGGGATTAAAACCCTTGCGTGGGCTGCATGTCTCATCCCTCACCTCGGATCCACTGGCTCAGCCCCGCGCAAGAGCTACTTCATCCTCGACCGCCACAATGGGATTGTCGCCATCTTCCGAGTTCACCAGACGCAGAACCTCGAAGAGAAATCTGAAATCGGAAAAAAAGTCACAATCAAACCTGGTATCAAACGAGTGTACCCAAAACTGTGTGACAAATATTGAAAGGGCTTTTTGATGCACCTCTTTGTGGTAGCCCGTGGTAGCTGGTCTATACAACCCCTTCGCCATTGAGCTGCTATTGGGCACATTGCATAAACAAGAGAATCCAGTGCATTCAGGAACATAAGTTGCTACTTGCCTCCCACACAACCTGAGATCCTCTTCAAGACCATGTTTGGGATGTGCCAGTCTTGGGAACTCCTTTTCTGCGGTCCCCATTTTCTGATCGGGTCACATCCCCACAAGGCCAGCCGAGACCAACTTGGGACTAGTTCAGTGCCACTGCCACTGCTGAGACCTGTGAAAGCTTTATGCATAATTTACCGAAGGTGTGATGTCCACAAAACCATTTGGGAGGATATGACCAACTCAAAATTTAGGGCAAGTGTCACCAGCATCAAGGACATGCCTGCCTGTCTTGAGAAACTCTTCCAGAGCTCTCTACGCACCATCACCCACCTATTGCCCCCGCAACCACGACGACCACCACCACCACCACCACCACCACCACCACCACCACCACCACCATCAGCCTGATCTGACTGAAATGACTAGAAGTTGTGCTGATGGCTTAGGCGGCGGACTCAGCGGACCGCGGCACAATGCAGATTTGCCATGATTCACAGCTGTGGAGGAAGCTGAAGTTCAGGGCTATGATGGCTTCATGGCCAAAATGGAATGACTTGGTTTACAACTCCGCCATCTTTGGCATGGCCACGTGAAGCATCGAAGGACATGGTGCAAAGCAATAGGTGTGGTGGGCCAAAAGCACAAGGCTCTAAGCCATACAACCATTCTCCGAGCTTCTGCTCGTGATAAAAGCATCAATCCTCTCGACCGCCCTTCTTCTTCCTTCGCAAAACCCGTACTTTACGATCCTCTTCCAAACATCACGACCAATTGAATGATACCTCGGGCTCTCCCTCCATCTTAACCAGTCAAATAAAAGCAGGATGAAGCATAATGGAACTGGAGGTGGACAAGATGGCTTGAGAAGACGGCCCTCCTCTTGCGACTTGAAAAGGCCCCTCCACTGGACAAAACACAAGCCAAGAGTGCGGAACTGAACAACGACCTGAGCACCCTGGAGGTTGGACTTGTTCGCCCTTTCTGGACTTTGAACTCTTTGACATGCCGATGGGCAAACGGAAAATCAACAAAACATCTGGGTGAAGAATGATTTACCAGACGTTGCTATCAGTTTTGGCCCAGAAAGCGAACCTTTAGCCTTGGTGTCGCAAACCAAACTTGGGAATTGGCAATCAATTTTCCGGATGAAGCAAAAGTGGTTGCCGACTAAGTCAGTAAAAGTAAAGTCGTGGAAGACAAGAAGTGAACATGCAGGAAGGCTCTGCAGAGCCTGAGACGCAGGTGGGTTAACTGGATTCCTTGCCATCATACTGTTCAGGAAATCCACCCAAACAGCAGCAAGCAGTAGGCGGTGTGATGTTCGCCCCTGAAATGACGCCATATGCTTAACAGGAGCACAACCCCTGAGAAACCCACAGGCGCAGGGGCAGCCAAAAGGTTCTTTACGCAAAGCCCCCGACACAAACTGACATTGCGTTGGTGAGTTTCCGAGGTTCCGCCCTTTTCGAGCATTGCGACGGATCGCATAGTATGGTATGGCAGGCATGAAACCTGCGTCCTTCCACAAGCTCCCTTCACAAGCCTACAGAGCTACCCCGACAACATCGCCCAAATTACATTCACTGGAACCTCCCCAGAACCGCCCGCGCACCCAACTCTCTCCGGAATATGCCTGGACCCTTTCCGGACCAAACCCATGCCCGTCCGAAACCCTGGATTGTAGGGATTTCTCCCTTTCAACGGAATCAACTTGAAATGGTTTGACACTTCTGATTCCTGATCAGTCTGAAAGGGTTCACTGGATGAATTCTAATTCTTGACCAACCTCAAGTTAGGACCACCATCAACGGTTCGCCCAGATCAGTCTCGCAATTCAGTCCGGTGGGGACACTTGCTGGGGCCTTTCGTTTAGTTGTTGTTCCGTGTATGACCTTGCTGATGCCTGCTGGCGCGGGCCTTGCTTTGAGCTTCATACCATACCCTTCATACCCATTTTGTTGTTTATCCCTTGCCTTAAGCTCCTAAAAGTTGCTTGTGCGTGATGGCCTGACCTGTATTCGGTGGTAAGCCGGTGTGGTCCCCAAGGCACAAAAGCGAGATGCTCCCGAGCAGATTCTCCGAAGCAAAATCAAAAAGGAGTCTTTCAAACCAATGAAAAGGGATCCTGAAAACGGCTTGCGATTCGACCATAGCATCAACGGCACACCCTCCTCTCCCGTGCGTGACCTGCGGCCCTTTCAGCAGTCGACCAAAGGTGTGTTCGGGCAAGAGTTTGCAACAGAGAGTCCGCCGCCCGTTTGAACAATCCCGACTTGCCGATGCGTGAGCAACTGGGCTCGTTCTCTCCCCAAACTCATGAGCTCCTCAGAGCCTAAAATCTTGCAGATGAACCCGATTCCTTGCAACATATTAAACGTGTATTGAAAACTCCCACTTTCAGGCAAATCACCCAACAGCCGGTCGGCTTTATGGTCAAAAGCTGGCCCCATGCATCGGTTGAAGCCTTTGATAGCCCCGGGCCGAGGCGCATCAAAAAGGAGCATGGTGCTTGCAGCCAGCGGGGTCTCATGGCCCAGTGAAAAGATGTCCAGGCGTGTGCTGTAGCGCTCCTGCCGTGCCCACCGGGCCATGGTCCCCCCTTAGGGCCCATAAGGTCTTCGGACGGCCCATAGCTCATTGCTGCACTGCACACGGGCATGGCTGGAAGCACCAAGAAACCTTCCTATGAAGGAACCCCCTTGAAAATACGTGAAACCGTCACGTATGTATTTAGACTGCGTTGGGTAAGGCTGAGATGGATCTGCTTGGGTGGCACTATCACTTTGCCTCACTTGCCCCACTGCCAGAACTGGGTGGCCAGTGCCCCTTGCTACAAAGTATAACTACAACTAATGTGTTGATCCTTGGGGGAGAAGGAAAAGGGTGCGCTAAAGGAAAGGTTAATTCAAAAAGTCAACAACATCACACACCAAAAATGAGGTGTCTAGAAAAATCCCAGAAAAAGTCGCTTGTGGCTTTCCCAAAAAAGTAAAGAGTGATTCTTAAAGTCCCACGGAAATGGCCCTGCACTCCAATCCCCACGTTCTCGGCCAAAAGCGTGTCTCCAGCTTTGCATGTTGGTTCGCATGGACTTCAAGTGATGGTTTACCAAGTTGCAACACTTTTCCGGTGTGACCTCAACATTGAAAACACTGACTGGCCCTACTTCATTGATCAGTCCTCGTACTTTTGCAGGAGCGTTTTCCATTGCACGCCGCCAATGGCCGCGGCGGGAAAGCATTGCAGCAAATCAGACAATTGCTGTGCCACCTCAGCAAAACCGCCCAAAGATCCAAAGGCCAAAAAATGAAGAGGGCGGTGTGATCCAAGCAGTTGTTCGGGCAGTCTGACAGGGAATTCAAAGGGAAACCGCCTGTTTGAAGGGTCATTTTTAGACACACCCACTTTGCAGAAACAGAAAGAGCTGACGAATTCTCCTCAGGAAGATAGACGCTTCTCTACTGGTCACGCTTGCCTGTTCAGAAAAGCATGCCTCGAACCACGATAGAAACACGACATTCTTAGAGTTTTTACCTGTGCAATTTCTCCGAGAGGGTTGATTCTGCACTTGCACATTGCATAACCGTCTACAAGTGAAAGTTTGACACAGTTCGCGCAGTGTCTGATTCTTTCTAGCTCTCATGCTGGTCTCAGGGCGCCCCTGGCTCACACCTCGAAATCCTTCTGCGGACTGCGCGACGTTTCTACCTAACTGAGGCTTTGTATTGGCTAAGTATCGCCAGGCAGCAAAGTCCAACGACACAGTTCCCCGCTTCGCGTACAAAGATCTTGCAAGGGCAGAAACAGAATGTGTCTCGGTTGAAAGCTTGTTAAAGTGGCTTCTCCAGATCAAAACGCTCCATCACAAGGTGGCTAAGCTGGGACACTGAAACAGGCGACAAAGCAACCGGGGTTAGTAGCACGGTCCCTTGGCCCAAGGTTGCCGGCTTGCCAAGCAACGGTCGTTGCCGACGAGCTGGAAAGGATGGCGCGCGGCATGATTCCGAAGCTAAACTCTAAATCTCTAAATGTTCAAAGGCGGGGCGCTGGACAGGCTGAAGTGACTATGCTGAAGTAGATTCGTTAAGATGTCGGCCGCTGATTCTGAGCCACGCAAACAACGCACAGAGATACCGGCCACTTCATGACAAGCCCCAACTCACAAAACAAAAGGGGAAAATTCCGCATAAAATAACTTCGTCATGGGAAAGGTGGCAACCCCCATGCAAGGTCGCTACAATCTGCCAAGAACCATGGTTTGCAGCTCGATGCTCCTCACTTCATTTGTCCATCGTGCCCCACGGTTTCCCAAATTACAGTTGTGGCGTAAATGTGTTTTGGGGCCTCACACTGCTAATAAGAGGCGCGATGTGGGACTACAAGTGTTTTAAGCTCTCCGTTCCTGAACCACCTAAAGTCAGAAATGCACTCTCAAGAAAGGAAGCTTCATCTTCCTCGATGCCCGGGCGTGGGGTGCAGCGATAAAAAAAGAGCCGCAGACAGTCACAGGGGAAGGATCCCCAGTGAGCAGCACAGTTGGCCGCCACATCCCAAGAACTTCCTCAGGAAGGAGGTAACCAAAACTCTGCAAACGGATAAAGACTACTGCCATCGATGCACACACTGAGAAAGTAGTCAGTCCTGTACTGCAGGCAGCCGACCACAGCAAAGCAAGGGAGTCAGCAGGGACAGCTGAGGCCTTGCGAGGCTCAAGATGACCCGCGCCACAACACACCCAAGACGACCCACCAGGTAGCAGACAGCAAGCCCAATACCTTCAGCAAGGAGATCTCCCCCACAACCCCGGCAACGAAAAACTCGGCCCTCTGCAATAAGCAGAATGCGATGCAGAACATCCGAAGAAGGACCTCGCCTGCACGCGGGAATAACGCAAGAAAAGAGCACCACACGCAAAAGGAACTGCCACTGCCGCCAGGTAGGTAGACAGGAAGCCCAGGCCCAAATCATTGCACACTGAAGCATAAAGCAGAGAGACACGCAGAAGGACCAGTGACGTACACGATCCATACAACGTGCCCCAACTCGAAGCGCGAGCAATAATACACACCATGTCTGCAGGGTCCGGCTGAACTGCCGCTGCGCGTTGGCATCCAAAATCAGAAAGTTGCACAAGTGACGCCCCAAAACAGGCGAAGGCAGAAGCGTCACGGAATCCAGTGCGAAGTGCATAGGCATAGTGAAGACGCCAACCAGGCCAACACGGCGCCGCTCCCCAAAAAGGCAAAGGCAGGCCCGGACTGAACAAGCGGCTGCAAGCTTCACGAACATCGAGCGAGACCACAACGACGTAGAAGAGGTGCGCCAAGTCGAGCGAGACCACAACGACGTAGAAGAGGTGCGCCAAGTCCAGTCCGAAGTGTGGGCAAAGCCTGCAAACACGCACCGCGGAAGGATTCCTTGGCCTCGTCCATGAGAACAGGGAGCACCTTGCGTGCCATGGCAATGCAATGATGCACTCCGGCATGGCGAGAAAAGCAAGACCAAACACGCAGCCCTACGGAGCCACCACCACTTGGTAGACGCCAGACGCCTCTAACGGAGAGGTCGCCTGGCCCCGGCTGGGCAAGCCTGAGGTGAGTTGCTGTGAGCCGCAACACCTAGAAAGGAAGCTTCATCATCGCGCCCGAGGTCGCAAACTAAGAAGCCTTTGAAAAGTCGCCAGAAGTTGCCGAGGAACATGAAGTCAGCACAACGTGAGAGTGCCCACAAAAAACAAGATTGAAAGGGCAAGCTATGCTTCATGCATACAGCAGACCAGATTCGTCAGCTGCCAAGCCCCAAGCTGGCGGAAGAAACCGAGTCCAGTGTTGCTCCAGGAGAACACAGCTCAAATCAAATGCTTCCAAGACGAAAATGCTATGTTTAACAAACCGGAGTGGAACAAATATGAAGCTGTTGATGTTGATGGTCATGGTGTCGCTGCCGTCGTCCTTGTCGCTGTTGCTGCCTTGTCCTTGTCCTTGTCCTTGTCCTTGTTGTTCAAATATTTGTTTATTGTTCTTCTTCTTCCTCCTCCTCTTCTTCTTCTTCTTCTTGCTCTTGCTCTTGTTATTGTTATTGTTCTTGTGTGTGCTCTTGTTATTGTTATTGCTCTTGCTGTTCTTGGTGTTATTGCTGTTCTTGTTGCTGTTACTGTTCTTGTTGTTGTCGTCGTTGTTGGTCGTTGGTGGTTGGTTGCTGGTTGTTGGTTGGTGGTTGTTGCTTGTTGCGTGTTGCTTGTTGCGTGTTGCTTGTTGCTTGTGGCTTGTGGTGTGTTAATGTTTATTGCTTTTTGCTTGTAGCTTGTGGCGTGTTGCTTGTTCATGTTGCTTGTTGCGTGTTGCTTGTTCATTGCTGCTTGCTGCTTGCTGCTTGCTGCTTGCTGTCTTTTGGTTTGTTGGGTGTTGCTTGTTGGGTGTTGCTTGCTGTTTGTTGTCTTTTGTTTGTTGGTTGCTGTTTGTTGTTGTTGCTTGCTGTTTGCTGTGCCGGTTGCAGTTTGCTGTTTGCCGTTTGCTGTTTGCTGTTTGCTGCTTGCTGTTTGCTGTTTGCTGTTTGTTGTTTGTTGTTTGCTGTTTGTTGTTGTTTTGTTTTTGTTTGTTGATGGTTGGTTGTTGGTTAGTTGGTGTTTGCTGTTTGTCGTTTGGTCTTTGTTACTTGTTGGTTGTTGATTTTTTTGTTGTTGGTTGTTGGTTGTTGGCCTTGGGTTGTGGGTTGTGGTTGTTGTGGTTGTTGTGGTTGTTGTGGTTGTTGTGGTTGTTGTGGTTGTTGTGGTTGTTGTGGTTGTTGTGGTTGTTGTGGTTGTTGTGGTTGTTGTGGGTTGTTGTGGTTGTTGTGGTTGTTGTGGTTGTTGTGGTTGTTGTGGTTGTTGTGGTTGTTGTGGTTGTGGTGGTTGTGGTGGTTGTGGTTGTGGTTGTGGTGGTTGTGGTTGTGGTGGTTGTGGTTGTGGTTGTGGTTGTGGTTGTGGTTGTGGTTGTGGTTGTGGTTGTTGTTGTTGTTGTTGTTGGTGGTGCTGCTGCTGCTGCTGCTGCTGCTGCTGTTGCTGCTGCTGCTGCTGTTGTTGCTGTTGCTGTTGCTGTTGCTGTTGCTGTTGCTGTTGCTGTTGTTGTTGGTGGTGGTGGTGTTGTTGATGATGATGATGATGTTGTTGATGTTGTTGATGTTGTTGATGGTGTTGATGTTTTTGTTGTTGTCGGTGTTGTTGTTGTCGTTGTCGTTGCTGTTGTTGCTGTTCTTGCTGTTCTTGCTGTTGCTGTTGCTGTTGTCGGCGTCGTTGGAGTCGTGGTGGTGGTCGTGGTCGTGGTGTTTTCAGCCGTATCCCCAACTTCTCAACGTTTTTTTTTCTGAAGCTCAATCATCCCAGCCATCGGCACCAAGACCATCCGGTCTTGGCAGCGAAAGGAGCTGTTTGAGACAGGCGTGGATCTCTTCCTCGGCAAGAAGGCAAGCGGCGTGCGGCACAATTTTGCTTGCAGCAACGAGCAATGAAAAAGGGAACCCAAAATGGGACCTACATACACTATACACTAGGTCGTTTTACCCGCACACGGCTCCCAGGTGATTCTCTCGTTTGAGCAGCATGAACTCTACGGCCCAGGTGCGCAGAAACAAGTTGCGTATCAGGAAAGCGTGCGGATCATTCCAGGGAGCAAAACAGCATATGAGGCGCGTATGATTCGTGACCCAGGAAAGTAGATGCGATGCGCGCATCTGTGTGATGATAGCAAAGCAACCCGCATGATTCCCTAGCTGTTGAATTCAAGCAACCAAAGAAACAAGGCAACTTATGTTGATGGCCCGTGCGGTTTTGCAATGTTTAGGGACTGAAGCGCATCACAAAGCATGCGTGAAGTGGTCGAAGGGTGCGTCACTGGAAACACTACTATTAGATGTGACTTGTTTGGCAGCTGACATGTTGGAAGACGCTGAAAGCGGGGAATAAGCATGCCCCAGTTCGAGAAGCAAACGAAACTTGGAGTGACCTGTAACAACCAGTAAGTTTGTTTCATGCATTCAAAGCAACACAAAGGCGTAGCGAGGAGACACAACGCAAAGAAAATGTGGGTCGATACAGCCGATCAGCCGCCTGACAAAAAGGACAAGACTGTTTGTGTTGCAAGCAATCTGCCTGCCATGAAGATCCTACTGTTGACTCGAACCACATAACTTAGCAGCAGGACCGTCCAGAGATTGAAATCATAAAACTGCACTGCATGCCAGATGACTTCCACAGACAGCTCAATCGGCAAACAGCCTTGCTTCATCGCAGAGTCGGTCAAGTAAGTCAATGTGCAAACCAAATTGCAGGGAACCCCCTGGAACCCCGAAGGCCGTCGAGCACCTTCAAATTGCCGAGGCACCACAGTCTGTCTCCGCAAGAGCACGTGGTTGTCATCACCTCGCGGATTGTCGCCCATGCAGAAAATGAAATTACAGCGCCCGATGCATGACGGGATGCACCTCGAAGAAAATCAACCCTGATTTGCCAAACGGCGCACACCCCCTCTTCCCCTTCGTGAATCAGAGACACATTCCAAGTAGAAGCCAATGGGGAGCTTGAGTTTATCGAGCCAGAAACCCAAATTAACTTTGCTGGGATCGATCGTGTCACAGCCAAAAGTGCAACATGCGGGTGACGTAAGGTGCGGACCCCTTGGTGGACATCTATTGCATGGAAACGTATGTCCACTAACCATTGTTGAAGGCAGCTCCTAAATCCATGGCCATTTGTCAGATCAGTACGCCACACCGCGCCGAATGGAGCGGCAAACGTTGAATCGCACATGTCGAAGGCCCTCCGTGGGCTTTTGTGCAACATAGCCAGGCGTTCAAAAAACGAGATTCGTATGTTTCCTTTGAAAATCAATCTATGCTACATCCATTGCCTCACCTCAATTTGGAGGGTACCCCGTTTGAAGGTTGTTCTCACAGGAAGCCCAAGGTGAACCTGGCCCCACGTTGGGAAATCGAAATTTGAAAACAAACCATGTCTGAATCTTGATGTCATTTGGAGCTGTTTTGAGGGTACTTTTTCCAGATGAATTTAAGGAGACGCAAAGGGAAGCCATCTGCTTTGGGAGTTCCATATCCCACTTGGCGACAACTCCATTTCCATGGTGAAAACTCCTGTGGATTGACGACCATCCCTGGCATGAAGTAAACGGGTGTTACCATTTGTCAAAACCCCGAGCCAGCCCTCCTTTTTGGGACCCCGCAAATGTGGAGCTCGCAGCCCGCGCCGCTCAGGGCGGCCACTTGGGAGCTGGGACAGAAGCCGTCCTGCGAGTTCAAAGGGTGATACTCAAAGAGAGAAAAGGGGACCCTTGCTGGTGAGAAAGCGAAGGCTTTGGCGACCAACGGTCGGTCGCTCTTTAGAGCTACCAACGGTCAGTCGCTCTTTAGAGGAGTCGTTTTCACACAGGTCATTTGACGTGTCCCACCCAAACAGCTGTTCAACATCTAATGTTGGATCCTTCCAACACAAGAATTGCAAGGACCTCTGATTCGACAAACAGCTTGGTGGCACGACGATTGATTTCAGAAATGGCTCTGCACATTGTGGGTTGCTTGTTGGTTGCATGGCGGCTTGTTGAAGAGATAGCTATGGCTTCCCAAATTGACGGACACCCAGAAAGGGTCTTACCGATTCCGCGCGCCATGGAGGCCTGGGATGTTCAGCCCATGAGTAAGTAGGTGTTGTGGTGTGCGTTCAGAGTTCTATGACAACGGGCCAGAACCTCTCCAGTCTGAAGTTAGGGAAACGCCTAGCCGCCTAAGAGCTTGGACCCAACCTCCCCACCCCTCCGGCCCCCAATGTTTAACCAAACAATCAGCGGGCTCGGGCCAAACGGCATAGCAATTCAACAAACTGCACCCAGAAACGTGTTTTGCTGGGAAACCCTCCAATTCCCTCATGCGTCTTTGCGAACAAAGCAAGCAAGCACCTAGACCCCAGAACATGCCTGCTCGTTGTTTCCCTCTGTCCAAAAGTGTCCCGCCACAAGTCATGAGAAGTCTAACCCACGGACATCGTTTTCGAATTTTGAAGAGATGTGACGCCCCACTGCCCCAGCTCTGCCCGCTCATTCTCTGCATGGAAGACGTGCACCGCACTGCGCAAAGGTGGCAGCCTGAGGGCGACGGTGTCTTTGGTGGTGGGTTTAGGGCGAGTTTCGGTTGGGCTATGGTTGTTTAATGTTGGTTGCATTATAGTAAGGAGCCCCTCTGAATTTACTTGGAGGAGGGCTGCGCATTTAGTAGGGTGCTCACCCTGGCATCTGACTTGGACATCTAATCACAGAGACTGGGAGACAGAAACACAAGTGGAAACACGACCCCGGAGCCAGCGTCACATTTTCTCATTCTTTGAACCTCTAACCTCTGGTTAGATTTCATTGCTTCGCTGTTTGGGGAACAAACATATATATATATATATGTATACATGTATAGATATATATATATATGTATCCATATAGACACAAATGACACGTTGCAAAGTAAAAAACTATCACGCCTTATTTCGCAGGTGATCCGACCGGCTTTTAGCGCACTCACTTCTGCGTGCTCTAGAACAATGAGCTTTGGGTAGGGAAGAACAAATACTTGCGCTGCCAGACAAGCCCCTCCTAGGGCTTGCCCTGAAATTACCCCCACGACTATGGATTGTTCGACTGCGATCTCTTATCCTGATCTTTTCCAGGCCCGCTGCAGCCTGGAAGATTGAGGCCCAACAAATTGCGTCTCGATCGCAAGCCAATCACAACAGGCTGACACTTTGAAACCTACCGATTACCCGCTTCCTTCTCCCAAGCCAGCGAATAACAACGAGCTATGGGTAGAACAAATTGTTGCACTACCAGACAAGCCCCCTAGGGCTTGCCCTGAAATTCGCCTCGGTTCGAGGCAGGCCACTTCTTGAGAAATTGGTCCGTCCGACGCACGGCCAAAATTCCTGCTCCAGCTGCCTCTAATCCGCCTGAAGCGAGCCTGGAAGCCGGGAAACGTTCCCCCGCCAAAACCCACAGAAAGCAAACCGAGTCCCCCTAAAACCCAAAACCGGTCAAATTCCTTGGTTCACGCAAACATGCACCCACCCTCTACCTTGGAAACCAGCTCACACATTTCGACGCCGACTCACTCACTCTAAGAAACACAAACTCAAGCACGGTTTTACCTCAAGGCCAGTAGCGGACTGGACGAGGCGGGCAACACGAAGCGTTTACAATTACCCCCACGACTATGGATTGTTCGACTGCGATCTCTTTTCCTGATCTTTTCCAGGCCCGCTGCAGCCTGGAAGATTGAGGCCCAACAAATTGCGTCTCGATCGCAAGCCAATCACAACAGGCTGACACTTTGAAACCTACCGATTACCCCGTTTCC